GTAAGGTAGCAAATATGGGTCTAGTTTCATTTTTCTACATGTGGATATCCAGTTTTCCCTACACCAATTGTTAAAGAGACTGTCTCTCTCCGATGTGTTTTTTGTTTTGTTTTGTCTGTTTGTTTATTTTGTTTTGTTTTTGAGACAATGTCTCACTAGTAGGTTTGGCTGACCTGAAACTTACTATGTAGACCAAGTTGACTTCAGACTCATGGAGAATAACCTGCCTCTTCCCCCAGAGTGCGAGGATTAAGACTATGCATCGCTATGATGGTCTCCAGTGCAGGTTTTTAACAACGTTGTTAAAAATTAGGTGTCTGAGCCAGGCGTGGTGGAGCACCATATTACGCTTAATAATATGTGTTTGTTGAACCATGGATTGAAACCAACTTGTATGATCTTCTAGAAATGCTTCTGAATTAATAAAGCAGGGACTAAAAGAGTATAAAATAACCATACTATACTCACTCAAAGAGGTGAAAATTAATGTGGTAGACAAAATGCTAGCCAAGACAAAGAGAAATCCTAAATTAATAAAATTAGAGAAGAAACAAGGGAGATTTTGGTAGATCGCAATGAAATCAAGGGAGTTACTAATGGATAGCTTTTGTCTTGGCTTGTATGTGTGTTCAACGTGTGTGCATAGGTGTTCATATGTGTGTGAAGGCCGGAGGCTGACGTTGTATCTCTTGTGCAGTTACTCTTTACCATGTATTTTGAGGCAAGGTCTCTCACTTGAACCCAGAGCTCTTGGACTAATCTAGCTTCACTGGTCTGCTTGCCTCAGGGATCTCTGTCTCCGCCCACCAGCACTGGGATTGGGGGGGCACCACACTTGCCTGGCCCTTATGTGGGCAATGCAGGTCCAAATTCAATTCCTCCCACTCTTACAGTGCTTTGCCCACTGAGCCGGCGTTCAGCCTCCCCATCCCTATCGGGGAAAATTAAAATTTCGTATTAAAACAAAAACTGAAAAAACTCCCAAACTCTTAAAACCTAGTCGAGTGCTCCTCAAACTGCTCCAGAAAACAGAAATATTCAGACTGCATTCCCTCTTTCTCTGTGTGCAATATTCCTTTATACGGTACCAGCCTAGTATCATGAACTATCTTACGTTATGATTGTCTTAGAGTACCCTTAATTTATCCATCAATTTTAAATGATGGTTTAACTGGGTATATAGCACACTTGCTTGACTTTCAGAGTTTGAAATATACCTTCCTATGTTATCCTGAATTTTAAGGTTGCTGACAAGAAATTTAATGTCATTCCGATGTTTGCTTTTATGAGTTTTTCCTTTTTAGTATGGTTTCTTTGCTTTCTATTTTTGACTATAATACGTCGTGGGAAAGGTCTTTTCTGGTCATGTCTACTTGGAACTTTAAATGCCTCTTGTGTTTGAGTGTCTGGATTTGGGGAATTTTTGCTATAGCGTCATTGAACAGCTTCCCTGTGCTTGCGTTGTCGACGTCAGCCCTCTTTCTCTGTGCGTGGCTTCCTGGCCGTGTCTCAGCATTCTTAGTGGAGGCCTACTCATTTGTTTTCACATTGATCGCCAAGTGCAGTATTTTGTCACCTATGTCCTCATCCTTGATACTCTCTCTTCAGCTTGATTCAGTTGGTTGGTGAAACCCTCTGCTATGTTTCCATTGGATGCACTGAGTTTTTTATGCCCAGCATTTTTGATTTTGTCTTGTCTTGTTTCTGAGACAAGGTTTCTTCGTTTAGCCCTGGTTGTGCTAGAACAGGCTGGCCTCGAACTCAGATCTGCCTGCCTCTGCCTCCTAAGTGCTGGGATCAAAGGCGTACACCACTACTGACTGTCTAGAATTTATTATTAATTTTTTTAAAGATTTATTTATTATGTATACAATGTTCTGTCTGTGTGTACACCTGCAGGCCAGCAGGGGGGAAACCAGGTCTCATTATAGATGGTTGTGAGCCACCATGTGGTTGCTGGGAATTGAACTCAGGACCTTTGGAAGAGCAGCTAGTGCTCTTAACCTCTGAGCCATCTCTCAGCCCCATATTATTAATTTTTTAATCTTAATTTTCATGCTGAATATTTCATGTGACTTTTCATTCACATTCCTAATTTTTCTCCTCCATGTGGCTGTTTTTTTTACCTTCTGTGTTGCTGACTTTCCTCTCCAGGATCTGGATGGAACTCTTTCACTTATTTGCATTCTCTTTCAGGTCACTGTTCATTTTTAAGTGAACTTCTGGAATTTTTATTCAGTATTTTATTTTTTTGGGTAGCTTTGAATTTTTTTTATTAGTTTGTTGAGAGTTTTATACATGTGTTTTGATCAGCTTCATCCCCCAGCTCTTCCCAGATCTACTCCCCTTCCCTGCCCACCTAACTTTGTATCCTTTAAATTTTTTTTTCAAGACCAATTTGTGCTGCTCAAATATTCTTGGATGCATGGTATTTCACTGGAGCATATTCAGTCTGCCAAGCTCTACACTCTCTCAGCGTCTTTGTATTCAGTTGTTGATCTTTTTTCCCCCTGATCTTTTGGACGGTGCTGTTGGCTTGCTTTTCCATGCTCCCCATGTCCCTGTGTTGGGTTTTGTTTTTGTTTTGTTTTGTTTTGTTTGTTTGTTTGTTTTGTGTCTGCTGGTTTGGATAATTTCTGGTTTCATCTGGGCATCTTCTTATTGAGCAACTTGTGTATGGAGGCATGATATCCAGTACCACTTTAAAGGGACAAAGACAAATCAAAAAAACAACACCAAAAAACAAAAACAAAAACAAGCCTGCTGTGACAGCAATGACGTGAAGCATACAAGACCTGGAAATACACCTAGAAGCAGTGAGAGCCCATAACAACACCATCATCTATGATCACAAAACTGAAAGTGGCATAGCAGAGCCTGTGCCGTCCTTGGCTTGGCCTGGGGGCTGGGCGGCTTCTCTCACCTTCAGTGGTGTGGGGCACTATTTCATAATTGTTTCTTTTTCACCTTGTTATGCCGATGGGAGTTTTCCATGTTTATCTACAGTTTGTATCTCTTTAGTGAATTATCTGTTCATGGGGTATTCCTGTTTTCATATTAGGATTCTACTTTAGTACCTTGATGTAATTCTCTTTTTTGTTACTGGCATTGGCCCTTCCAAACTGTGTAGAGCTTTCACTTCCTGCTCATCTTTGCACCATTTCTTGAAACAATGAATTTATATATTTTATGTAGATTTAAGCTCAGGCTTTTCCTTGGTTATTGTTGCCATTCAGCTGAGTGCTGATGAACAAGGTTTAAGAAGAGCCTGGTTTTAGCATTTGTTGGTATTTGGAATGCCAGTACTCCCTCCACAGCTGGTTTCTGGCTGCTGCCGACGCTGCCGCAGAATCGCTGGCTGTTTAGCAGTTGTGCAAGTCTGCACAAGCCAGCTTCAGCACGCCATTGGTACTTTATTTATTTGTTTTTGAGACAGGGTCTCACTGTGTAGATAAAGCTGACCTCAAACTCAGAGATCCGTCTTCCTCTGTTTCTTGAGGAGAGGATTAAAGGCATATGCCTTTCTACTTTAATATTTTAAAAGCTCTTCACAAGATCAAATATCTATTGTTTTCCCAAACAAAAGTTTTCAGTAGCTTCAATGTTTTATTATCAAACTAAAATGTTCACTAAGGAAAGTCAAAATACACAAGTGAGTGAGAAGGAAAAGGTCGTCAGTAGCACTACCATGGCCTGCAGACTCGATGGAGACGTTTCCTCTAAACCGAGGGTCATGTTTCAGCCCTTGATGCCTACCGACGGACTGCTGTTCAGTTCAGTCTCTCAATCTAGAGAGATTGGCAATCTATCTACAGGACAGCAGAGCTCAGCCCAAGGCCAGCAAGGACCTACAGGACTCTTCCCAGACTGACACATACAATTGAATTTGCCTTCTTTCTTGCTAACATGAAGCCATGTAGACTCCTGCTCACAGTGCTCATCTGGGAAAGGAGTTGGGGAGGGAGCTTCCTATGAATGGTGGAGTATTTACTCAGAAAAGGCCGCATCAACACGAAAGCAGACAGCACAGCCAGATGAGACTGAGCCGACCCTGTCCCCATCATCCCACAGCTTCACGCCACAGCTCGGTGGGGCCAGGGCTTTCATCAAGTCTCTGTCAAAGCCATGCGGGAAACAAGTGGCAACTGCCAGCTTTATGCCACGGTGACAGAAGGCCACGTAAACAAAGGAAGACATGATCATGGTTTCCACCCAAGTTCATTTAAGTTCCTGGCTTTGGGACCTGAGGCTGGCTATGCAGTATCATGGCAGTGGGGGCAGGTGATGGAGGGGTTGTTTACCTCGTGGTGATAAGAAAGCAAAGAGAAGGGGTGAGGGGGAAGAACATTTCTAAGCTAACTGTGGCGGTCACCCCGGTAACTCCGGCACCTGGAAGGCTGAGGCAGGAGCGCTCAGAGCGCAGGGACACTCTGGAGAGTCCCTGCATTAGGAACAAGAAAAACGAGTCTGGGAAGAAAAACATAGCCTTCAAAGCCGCCCCCCATGAATTCCTTCCTGTAACTAGGGCCCACACTAACTGTCCATTCAGCTGAGAACTCAGCAGTGGAAAAGTCCATTAATGAAGTTAGCATCTTCATAAACTACTACAATCAGATTTTCCCTCAAGGCCTTCAAGCACAAGCCTCTGAGGACATTTTAGCTCCAAACCACCTGTGTTGTTTTGGTTTTTGTCATCCTAGTACACTGTAGGATCACATTTGGGAAGAGAGAACTTCAGCTGAGACAATGTCTCCATCAGATTGACCTGTAGGCAAGTTTGCAGGAGCATGTTCTTGATCGACACTGAAATGGGAGGGCCCAGCCCACTCCCATTCCTGGGCAGCACGTTGGACAGGATGTGGAGAGCAAGGCTGAAAGTGGCGTTCTTCCACCACCTCTACCTCAACCCCTGCCTCCAGATCCCTGCTTTAGTTCCTACCCTGACTTCCCTTCCCAATAGACTGCAAGTATAAGCCAAAAGAAGCCATTTCTTCCACAAGTTGCTTTTGGTCATGTTGTTTATCATAGTCATAGAGACCAAACGAAGACAGCATAACAGAAGTACCTCCCAATAGGAACCTAAAACCACAACGCTCATCAGTAAACTGTTAACAGTTTACTAAGCTGTGAACCCATGCTTCAAGTTTTCACATTATCTTCATTGACTAATATTGACTTTGTAATAAAAGAAGCTCTAAGGTTGGCCCAAAACAGTCCACGTTTGCTCTTCTCCATGGGCCATTCCAAGTAAGTCCTCTGTGCCATGAGAGCCCGCAGCTTGTGGTACCGACTGGGAATGGTGTCCTGTTGGATGGGTTCCAGCAAGATCAGGATTAAGTTATCAGACCCTTCGTGGAAGAGATTGTGATGGGCAAAGTAGAGCTCATAGTGGCACCACTCGCTCTGGATGAAGTGCGGAGACAACACAAAAACAGACTTGTAGCTCTTCTCGATGGAATGGATGATATTCTCCACAATGCTCTTGCCAGGGACAAAGTTTCTCTCATGGAGGCAAACCCGTATGTCATCTTTCTCTAGGTTTGGTAGCAATTCATCCTTCACCCAGGCAGAATCATGCTCACTGTATGAGACAAAAGCGTGGAACCGGAGATTCCTCTGGAGTTCTTCTAAGGGAGTGTTCCTGGCCCTGTGCCGGGTCTGTGTCCACTGACACAGCATCCTGAGGTACCAGGGCAGATCAAAGTAGAGGCAGAGGAAGGCCACGGTGGCGGCCAACACCAGCACGCTGGCCCCGATGGTGACGGTCAGCAGAACGGTATCACAGGACAGTGGAGACATGCGGAAGTCCTGCAGTGGGGTTCCCTTGGTGCTTTCTGGGTAGTCACAGGTGTAAGAGCCAGGCCAACCCTCCACCACTTCGCTTGGTATTTGGCCTAGGTTTTTGACAAACTCTCTCAGCTCACATGTACACTGGAATGGGTTGCTCCCTGCTCTTATGGACCGAATGTTCTGACAGCTCTGGAAGAACTCTGCTGAGGGATGGGACACTGAATTATGGTCAATGGCCAGCACAGAAAGGCTGCTGAAGGCCTCGCATCCAGGAAGGTCAGTTAAAGAATTGCCTGCTACATTCAGTTCCTGCAGAGCTTCCAGTTTAGTGATTTTGTGAGGAATGCTTGTAATTCTGTTATTGTGAAGGTCAAGGACCTCGACCTTGGGAGGTAAGCATCTGAAAACAGAGTCAGTAAGGACATTTGAAGACAAATTCAACACTAATATGCTCTCAGCCCAAGTGCATGTCCCTTCATAGGCATGAGAATCCAAGGAATTCAAACTAACATCCAAAGTTTCCAGAGAGGACATATTCTTAGTCATGAGACCTACCTTCAAAAGGTTCTTCAAGCCATTCCTTTGTAAGATAAGTGTCTTCAATCTCTGTAAGGTGGAACAGCCTTGAAAAACACTGTCTGTGAAAACATTCTGGGTGAAGTTCAGAAACACGAATGAGCTTGGGAGCTGAGGGCACAGCATGTGGATAAAGGGTGTGTCTGAGATGCTGAGCCTCCCAATGTTCATCTCAGCAAACACAGAGTACAATGCCTCCTTTGAAAAAATGAAAACTTGAACTGTAACATGCTCTATCTTCAAGCCCTTCAGTGCTGTCTCCGGGTAAGTAAATTTTTCTGTATTGATGCTCTCAACTATTGTTAAGTTGTAGATGCTGAGATACTCCACTGCTTGGGGCCAAAGGAATTTGAAAAGTGTAACCAAACACTTCCAGTTTGTTTCTATGTGGTGGAGAGTCAAGTTCAGTAAGGTTGGACCTCTGGTGAGTTCTAATAACAATGTAATTAACTGTTGGCAGTTTTCATCATTCAACTTAATATTACTCAGCTGTAAACATCCTAAAGTATTTACAGATATGTTCACTTGCATGGAGAACAAGCTGTTTGGATGAAAGACCAAATGGAGAACATTGGTATTCAGAACCTGAAGACTTTCTGTCTCACCTTCTTTTATACGATAACCCACTAAGTCTAGAAGAATGTAGTTTAGGTGTAAGTGAGCAACTGGGAGCAGATCCAGTTGCCGGAACTTTGCAGCACTTAATCCCAAGAAACTCAGTTGTGTCAAGTTGCCAAAGTCTTTAGACACAGGAAGGACATCAAAGTCATTGAATGAGAGGTCTAAGTGCTTCAAGCTCACCAGAGGGCAGCAAGAGATGCTTCGCAACTGATTGTGTGAAACATCCAAGTATTCTAAATACCTATTGAACTTGAACACACCAAAATCAAGTCTCCGTATTCTGTTGTGGGAGAGTATCAGAGCTCTCAGCTCTGACAGAAAGCTGATATCAGTCATACGAAGCTCAGGTATAGAGTTTTGAGACAGATTTAAGGTTTTTGTTCTTGGTGGCAGGTCTTTTGGGACATTAGTAAGGTTCCTGTCTGAATAGTCTACAGTAGACCCAAGTTCATCGGAGAACTTGGCCATGCTTCTGACTGTTATGGCCAGGATGCAGACAAAATGGAAACTTCCCATGATGGGATCTCTGCCTTGACTCATGTTGAAATGGCTGTCCCAGGGGGCCATTAGTGTTCTTCACAGCATTTTACTAGTTCAAGCTCTAAAAAAAAGAGAGACATTAGGATGAGTAAAGAAAGGTTAGTTGGTGGCTCTTAAACTTCCATTTCCCAGAATTCTCAAGTGCTTTCTTCATCCACTCTCTCATTCATCACCATCCTCATATTTTTATGTGATATTTTCTCAGCCTGCAGCCACAGGGGGCAATATGAACTTTTAATCAAAGTACTGTGACTATTTGTTTTGACTTGCCTGGGGGCTTCCTGAAGGACTTTTGCCTTTTTGTCACACTCAGGGCTGGAGCAGCCTCCTGGGTGGTGTTTGTCAAAAACAAAATTTAAAGACAAATATACTAGCTGCAGCCACCTGAGCCAGAAGTAACAAAGGACAAGCAACAGACACACCAAAAGGCCAGAGAAGTAAGAGAAAGGGAGAAAGGATATATACACACAAAGAAAGCAGGGCAAGGGGCTGGAGAGATGGCTCAGAGGTTAAGAGCACTGTCTACTCTTCCAAAGATCCTGAGTTCAATTCCCAGCAACCACATGATGGGGCATAACCATCTGTAAGGAGATCTGGTGCCCTCTTTGGCATACAGGTGTACATGCAAGCAGAAATAAATAAATAAATAAATAAATAAATAAATAAATAAATAAATAAA